TTGTGCTCTCACATCAATTGTGCTTTCTCAGTGGTATGCTTCTTTCTTCTTGTTCCTCTTCTTCTCCAGTTCTAATTGTCTTGTTCTTTAGTGCTCTGGTTCTGTGTGCAATCAATCTTTTGAAAAGCTGTTCCAAAGGCAAAATGTACACATTGCCTCGTTAAGCACAAAGGGGCCCCTTTGTACCGCAAGGCAATGTGTGCATATTGCCTTCACTTTGGGTCTGGTGTTTGCTTAAGTGTTCTTGCCACTGGATCAACAAGTACTCATCCACCATCACCTACACTGTCACTGTCTACTCTGGCATATTCTTCTAAGTCTTGAACAGTACTGTAACTCTGTCCTAGTTGTTACTTGTTCTTCACTTGTAAAGACCCCCCACTTGTAAGTGTTATCACTTGAAAGAATTCTCACTATTCCCTGACTTTCCCAGCAGGAAGAAGTCAACATGCAATCTGGATTTCCCTCCCTCATTCAGATAGAGAAGAGCTCAGCAGTTTTTACTGGATTTCATAAACATTACCAATCTTTACAGAAATACTTGTCCCAAAACATCTATCAACCCTCATAGCTCAACTAAGTGCATATTTTTTACTTGTTTAGAAGCATAGAGGCTGAAAGACACAGTATCTTGTGATGTGCAATTTGAGAAGCTGAGATTGTAATTCTTGAAATCAATGGTCTCCAGTGATTGCCTCCTCCACATTTTCAAGGAAAATTGCTTTCTCAAATGCAGGTGAGGCTCCACTCAACTGACCCCCTGAGTGTGTACTAAATACATAGCTTCAGTCAGCTAGGTGCAGGAATAAAAAAATGTGAACTTCAAGCATAGCATGGCTCAAGCTTCAAGCATAGCATGCCTTGAGTAACTGCATGTCAACTGCTAGCAAGTTTTACTGCCAGTGCAAACCACTTTTTTCTCTGTTTTATTTGCAATGATAATTTTTATGGTTTTGATGGATTTTTGTTGGCCAATTAGTGTTTGAGGTTAGTAAGTGTCACTAAAAGGCCTGTTACATGCCCATTTTTGTTGTTTCACAGTCTCTTTCTTGAATTTCTATAACAAATGAAATAAACAAGTTGTTGTTTTTTCCTGAAGAAGTTGAACTATCTATTTGCGTTTGTTGTGCAGGGCAACCCCTGGTTGTTTTTGTGAAAATCTCAAAATAATATGTGTCCTGTGGGAATTGAACTCACATCTCTTATGTCCATGATAACTGTACTAATCACTATACTAAGGATACTTGGAGATGAATGACTGTGCTTGGTGATTGAATGCTACTCTTGTCAATCAAAAAACACTGCCAAGGTGATTGTGTCAGATTCCCACATCTGGCATTATGTCAGATGAAAAAGTCTGATATTATATCAGAAGAAACTGGAATTGTATCT